ACTTGTTGCTAAGACTAGGTTGAAACTCTCTCTTCTTTCCCCCCTCCAATTCTCACGTAAAATAGTGTTTTTCATGAGAGCACTATGTCGAGGTCTAAAGAATAGTCACTTAGGAGTATGGACCACCACCATGCCTAGGTCATTTCTTACATTTCCTTTCAATTTCATGATACAACTCACCTTTTCAGCTTCCATGATCATACATAAAAAATAAAAATAAAAATAAAAATCATAATAAAAACTAATCTTTCACAGATATTACTCACTATGAGATTTCTTTTAATAATTTTCTATTTAGAATTGAAAATCATGTAATTCACTCTCTTGGCTAATGCATCTAATATAGTCTTCATTACATGTATCTAAATCATCTTAGTCAATTTTGTCATCTTTTTCGCAGTAGATTTTTTCTTAGTATGTATCATACTGATATCTTTTCATATATCATAATTTTGTATCTTATTTTTAATTTCTTGTGCAGTCACATAAATATCTTAATATTCTCATTTTTTTCCCATTCATATTTTTTTTCTTTTGTTTGTTAAAGAAAATTGTGAAAATTAAGTTATTTTAATAATTAATTGTATGCATAATCAATTATTGTTATAATTGATTATAATCAGAATGAATTTTTTTTTGAATAAATTTGATAAAAAAATAATTTTGAGATATCTAATTTCATTTAGATATATCAAATAATCAATTTTTATGTAATAAATTAGTTTAAAGGAAAAAAAAAACTGTTGAGAAATAATTATAAGCTTCAAATTTTCAGTTTCATAAAAACATTTTTTTAAGAAAAAACCTCTAAAATGTGATATTATAAAGTTTTCTAAATATACTAACAAAAGACAAATATTCACCGTTATAAAGTATAGTCAGTTAATTGATATATAATCAATTATAAAACAACACAATAAATTTTCTTCTTGGGCTTAGTAAGTGTTTTGCAAACACAAATAACATTAACAGTCGATACCTATTTTACATTCTAACCACTCAGTGTGTTTCTTGTGTGTGACTTATTCATTAATTTTTCCGTTGGATCCCAAATAATTAAACTTAGAAATCTATAATATATGACATCAAATTTTTACCTTCAAATCACATTTTACATTATTTTTCTTGTACTCCATTAAAATTACAAAGCATACTAATTAACTTATTTCTACTTAAGCCAACTTTTGTGGCTAGGAAAATGGAAGTGTGAAGCCTGGGGTAAGGCCCATGGTTGGTCATATAAAAATTGGAATTGCATTAATTATTAATTATTGTTGTAATCTCAAATCTCCAGAACAATAAGAGCAATATGAATTATGATGGGTGGCGGGGACAAGGAACAGTGGTAAGTACTTAAAGGTTGAATACATTATCTAAAAAGTACACCAATAATAAAGTGTCACGTGAAATAGGATCCCAAAAGGATTCATTCATTTATTTATTTTTTCGACTATGAAGAGAAAACATGCCCAAAGTAGATAAGAAATTGTTTGGTCACTACAGCTTACACTGACATTAAATTAACGATTAAATTCTGCATCGTATTGAGAAAATATTTTCATAAGTTACCTTTAGTCCTATAAATATTTAAAAGGTTTTTAGTTACTGTATTTGTTCAAAAAGGCCTTATATGGTTAACTTTTGGGCCTATTTATGTTTTACAATATCAAAGTTTTCATTTGTTACATTTTCTCTCTTCTTGGTACACCCATGTTTCTAACATTTCTCAATTCCTTCTCAGGTTACACATGCCTCCAGCCGTGCTTCTTAACTATTAAAAAAACACTAATCAGCATACAGAGAAGCTCCATTCCACTAAAGAATTCTTTCTCTAATCGTAAAACAAAGATATATCTAAGATACATTCATTCTTTTCACATAAAATCTTCCTTAGATGTGAATATTCGATGAACTATTAATGTAATTTTTTTATGCAGTAAAGTAATCAAAAGTTATTGTTTATATTACTTTGAAGATGATCATTATAAAACCAACATACATACTATATACACAAGTTGGTTTGAGTGAAATTAGTTTCTGATTTTTTTAGAAGGTATTGAACTTAAGTTTTGTAGATGAAAAAGAAATGGTTGAAGAGGGGGGATTCTACCGAAGGTAATGAAAAATAAAGTCGATGAATACTTCACATCCTTGTCAAAAACAAATACTATATATGACTGTTTATGGTTGAATGATGATATAATTCTTTTTTTAGACTTTCATGCATATACTATTTTCTGTTCTTCTTGGGTCAAACTCAGCTCCATTACTATTTGTACTTGATGGACTTTGAACAATGTTGATGAGTTGATGTGGATCCTATCATTTTCCAAAACACATGTTGGTCCAACTCTTTGCGGAAGAATTAAGAGGCCCATATTACACCTCCCCATCTTAGGATGGGCTGGGCCAAAGCCTAAAGACCAAATATCTATTTATTTTTTAACAAGTACACCACTTTTTCTTTTCAAAAATTTTTAAAATATTTTTAATTTTTTTATTCTATTTTTTTTTTTAATTTTTATCTTCTATCGTTCAATTTATCACTTTCTCCTCTTTTTTTTTTCTTTTTTTTCACACACCTCTTTTTCTCTATCTTTTAATTTTCACATATACTCTCTTGTCTTCACTTACTCCTCACCTATTTCAATATAGTTTAATTTTTTAAAATTTTTACATTAATCTTTTCTTCCTCTCTTTTAATTTGCACACATACTTAAGTCATAAAACTGGTGTGTAATGACATTGTAAGCAAGTGCGACTTCTTTGACAATGTCAAAGGTGTCGAGACATATGCACTAACTTTCACAAAACCTCAATATTAAATTTAGTGTTCTAAAAAACACTTCATGAAAGATTAATTTTAGTATTCCAGAAAGTTTTCCATAAAGCACCTTCTAAAATAATAACATTAGTGTTTTGAAAAGTATTTTTTGGAATTATATTTTTTACATACTTCCGAAAAATATTTTCTAAAACACTAATTTACTATTCTAATAAGTATTTTTTGAAATACTAAAATTAATATTTTGAAAAATACTTTTCAAAAGTGTGTTGATTTGCATAATTCTGGAAAGTTCTTTTTAGAACAATAAATTTAGTGCTCTGAAAAATAATTTTTAGAAATATGTAAAAAGCACAATTTCAAAAAATACTTTTCGAAACACTAATTTTACTGTTGTGTTTTCTAGAAGTTTGAAAGGGAGGAAGTGCATGAAGAAAAAAAGTGTATATGGTTTGCCTCCTTTGACATCGTTGTGCACTAGTTCAACATTGTGTGTGAAAACTAAAAACGAGAAGAAAGAGAGTAACAATGTAAAAACTAAAAGAAAAGGGAGAAGAAAGTAATGTAAAAATCTAAAAAATAAAAAAATATCTACTAAAATAGGTGTGGAGAGGAAGGAAGATATAGGATGCATGCGAAAAATGAAAGGAAAGAAAAAGAAGTTTGTGAAAAAGAAGAAAAAAATGTTAAATTGAATATTGGAGATACAAAATTAAAAAAATAAAATAAAAATATTTTAAGAATTTTTTTTAAAAAAAAGAGAGTTGTATTTATTAAAAAAAATTGTATATATCATGAGCCCGATTGTAAAAAAAAAAAAAAAAACACAAATTTGGATGCCTCAACACCTCTAAACATGTGTTTTATACCTATATGCCGCTCTATAAGAGTCCAGAAGATCAAGTGAATGTAATTTTTGAAAAATTCAAGTGAATGTATCTTTGAAAGTGTAATCATGGTCAAATTAACTATTTAACTACCTTTTCTTTTAATCTCTCCTTGAATTTTTTGGATATAATTCTCTATACAAGAAATAAAAAAAAAATTAGGAGAAAACACGGCTTGGTTTATTTTGTGAGAGGAGGAGGGATTGTATATATTTTAGTTCCTAATTTAAAAATTGAAATTTTCACGGTGTTCTAAAAGATAATGTCATAGATCATTTATTTTGAAATTTTGTAAAATTATCTTATAAAATTATGAGTTTGGTTTTGTAATCTGAAGTAATCAAAGGAAAATTGAGCCACGTTCAGATTATGCGGTTCTTTTGGTGAAGTGCAATTTTGATAAGGTGGAGTGTAGTGAAACATGATGGAAGAGACGGTTGCATCAATAAGTACTCCAAAGCAGGAATTTTTATGAAGTAACAATATTAAAAGATAAAAGATCTTAAGTCTCATTTATACCTGCCACAGTGGTTCCGAAACACTTTTAAACATCAAAATTAGAGATAATAGGTCTATTATTAGTAATCTCAAGCTACAATTTTATGCGCAATTTCTTACGCTAATCATTCACGTCTGAAATTTTGCATAGAAATCAAATCACACCATGCATACTTCCACTCAGTACAGATTGTGATTTGAAGAAAAAAGTTTAAAAGTGAAATTAGTTAAGTTCTTTAGTAAGGTCAAATAAACTCATGCACGTCAGCTTTTATAAAAACTTAAATTTTTTTTTTATAAAAGTTAAATACACAAATTGAATTTATTTTATATGAAAAGGTCAATACATTTTTAGAGATGTTAACTGGTACAAAAGTATAGTACAAATAACAAGAATTACTAACGTGAACCAATATATTCTTTTTATAAATAAATTGCAATTAATTTTTTTTAAAATCACAATACAATATTTAACGGAAACAATGGGTTTGTGCACAATATTATTCATGAACTCCAATAGGTCGAACCTATCAATAAACAAGTCCTTTTATAGTCATGTGTGGAAATAAATTAATATTATTATAGACTTAAATTCTTATTCTTCTCTTACTACTTTGTTAGAATCCAAGAAAAAATAAAATTAAAAAATGATAATTCATTAGGTCCCAACCTCCAATTACTAGAATCCCATTCCACCTTTTATGCTTCTCTAGATTCCAAACTTGACTAAGCTGTTTATGATAGCTAGACATCTAGAACCCGTTAAACATTGAAATTGAAAGTCAATAAAAGCACATGTTGAATGTAAAGTAACGCATGCCAATAGTACAAATTTCTAAAGATCGAGCATCTTTTGTTTTAACAACGAAGAAGGGAACAACACAAATTATTCAATCTTGTCTCCTGAAGATTGGGCAAAACTTATGAAGTACTTAGCATAGTTGCCACAATCATATAGTGACCAAAGCACAATGCAGAATACAAAGGGAACTTGGTACACCTTCACATGTAAACGATAATAATATGTCTTAATGGGATACGATTTTCAAACCAAATGATTTGTTTAACCATGCTTTCCAGCCACCACCATTGCTCTTTTGAGACACCAACTCAGATTGTGATCCTGTGTTTGATGAGTACACTTGCTTTTTGCACAGCACAAAATTCCTCGCTCCAAAAGATCCTATCGGTTCCAATGGACTCAGAGCTATCAAAAAAGTTACCAACATAACAACCCTTTAGCTTACAAATTAAAATCATAGGGAACCAAACTTTATAAGATGTTACTGTTTTATCGATGCGTGTTATAATTATATCTGTAGAAAGAAAAGCCGTCCATAGTTTATACAATAATGACCGATTTAGATATGAATTTAAAAGTAATTTTTTACAAAAGAATCATTTTCAACTTTGAAGATGACAATTCATTGAATGATTATATAAAAAACGCTTATGTTGTATTTTAATTAAACCGTGTAACACGCCTGAGAAACAAAAAAACAAATTGAGGAGGGGCATGAAAACATCATAGGAAGAAATATATAGAACCGAATAAATGGCATAGCATACATCATCAAAAATGGCCTTTTGGATCCAACATGCAGAGAGACCAAAGAGACAAAATAAAAGACTCCAAATTGATGCACAAATTGCACGTCCAAAACCGCAAAAGAAAAACTTAAATTAAGGTTCCTCGGGTATTTTACTATTTTGACTATTGTTTTTATATCAAAATTGAAATTTTATCACATAATAAAAGATTGCCTTTAAGATCATCACATCTTACGAAATTTTCTTTTTTAGTTGTAAAAATTAATACAACGGCAACATGATTCAAATGTGAGACTCTTTACATACTATTTTAACTTTAATCACTATACGACTTTAGTAGTTTATGTTATGAAATTTCAATTCTAACAAGAAAATAATTCAAATTTTTTTTTTAAGAACATATAACCTTTTCCAAAAGGATAGAGAAGAATTAGAGTTTCATCTCATCTGATTAATAATGATTTGCATTAAAGATCACTAAAACAAACTTGAAAAGAACAAAGAACAGCATAAAACATTTAATGAACCAAATGAAAATTTTGCAAAAGGGTAGAGAATTAAGCATACCATCAAACCCTGCATTTGCAAGGTAAAGATGGAAATTGGCAGCATCAAATCCCAAAACAGGAAGCCTCCCTTCTCTAGCATAGGATTTGAGAGCAGTATCAATGACCCCTGAAACAAGCTCTTTCTCATTCACCACAAACCTTATGGGACCCGCACTCCCCATTATGTTGATCGTCACCAAAAACCTGTTGCTGCTCCTCGTTTTCTGCTCCTCGGACCAGTTCTTCCCCTTGCTCTTGTTCTTCTGCAATACCATCTTCTCAAACCCACTCTTCTTCGTCATCACGCTCTTCAAATTCAAATTACGCACCGACCCAGATGGACCAAACCCCCAAAGATCGCAACTTTGCTCGTGAATCGAAGTGGGAAACGACTTAAGGTTCAAGGGTCGAGGCCTAAGCAGCGATAGTACCAAGCGGTTTTGGAGGATCCAAAGGAAGAGGGGAAGGGCATGAAAGGAAGAGAAATGCTCAAACCCAACATTCAAGGCAGAGTTATGAGTATTGAAGAAGAATGCATTAACGACGAGTCAGAAGAAAAGAGAAAGAACAAGAAGAAGAAAACATTAAGGTGTGTGCATGAGTCTGCACTCAATGCTTCTTTTTATATATTCATTTCTTTGCACAACTATATATATGAAATTTTGGTTGTTTAATTACTTTCACACACACCAACGAAAAAAAAAAACAATAAAAAAAAACTTTATTCTACCTTATTTTAGATCGTTCATTAATATATAGAGAGAGACACACTTTATTCCGGTTTTTTTTTTTTACACCTGGGGCCTTCTTGAATAGCCTTAAATTAGGTTAAAAATCTCCTTTAATTTGATAATATTTTTTTGTTTCAATTTAGTTCCACTTTAATTTTAGGTTTTAATTTGATCCCTAATAATTTAAATCATTGCAATTTGGAACTTCCGTCCAAATGATTTAAACGGGGTTAACTCCTGCTGACGTGGATGCCAGGTGGATGCCACATAGATGCATAGATAGATGCCAAATGTCATGAATATACCTGGAATCAGATCGGCCCGTTCTAAAACCAGAACGACCCGTTCTGTATGCACATGTTATGTGTTAATTTTGCAATTGGAACGGACCGTTCCAAATGCAAATTTAACACAACATGAGTGCAGTAGAACGGACCGTTCTGAAACCAGAACTGGTCGTTCTGCTGTTAGAACGGGCCGTTCTGAATTCAGAACGGCCCGTTCCAAAACCCAACTTCATGCTTTTTATTGTATTTTTTTATATTATATCTATATTAATAAAAATATAATAAATAAAAAATACTATAAATTAATATTCATTTATGAATAAAACTATAAAAAAAAATTAAATAAAATAAGAGCTTCCAAAATCCTTCTTTGGTTTGAATTTATCTAGTTTAAAATCTTGACAAAATGTCGCAATGTGATTCAAAAATTGAAAATAAAAATTCATAAATACCATAAATTCAAAGACAGAAACATGGTTCAAAAACTGAAAACAAAAATTCAGAACATAACATATACTAAAAAAGTGCAAAGAAATTATTGAGAAAGGAAATCATCTGGGTAACGCTTAAGGGAAACCCTAAACCACAAGGTTATACCTCCTCAAGAACAGGTTGTTATTATTTGGGTACATCGTCAATGACTTCAAGGGGAAACACTGTTTCGTTTCATCCTTGACTGTATAGTGCCAATTTGGTAGTAAGTGGTTCACTCCAGTTTGACTAATTTTGCATCTGGAACGGCACATTTCAGGTACAAAATTTACACACCAATAGTGTAACCAGAACGGGCCGTTCTGGTTTCAGAATGAGCCGTTCTGGTTCCAGGTGTATTCAAGTATTTTGGGATCCACCTACGTGGCATCCACCTGACATCCACGTGGCCACCAGTTAACTCCGTTTAAATCATTTAGACGGAAGTCTCAAATTGCAATGATTTAAATTATTGAGGACCAAATTGAGACTTAAAATTAAAGTGAAACTAAATTGAAACAAAAAAATATTATAAGGGACCAAAAAAGGTTTTTAACCCTTAAATTATAGTACTACTAAATGTGCATTTATTATACTATATTGCGTTTTAAATTTATTTAAATATAAATTTATTATGTAAACAATTTGATTTTTTTTATTTTTTAATCTTCATCCTAGTAGTTCAATGATTTGAATATTCGATTAGTCCTCATAGTTTACGAACTTTATCTTTGTGTTGTTGAAAAAATTATTTATTTCATATACATATTATTTTTTATTTTTAAAGTTTGTATATTAAATAAACAATTTAGACTAAAAAAATATAGAATAAAAAAGTAAATAATATATATATGCACTAAATGTAAAATTTATAAAATTAAAAAAATTAAATGCGTATTTAAATCTTACATAATTTTTCACGAGAATTAAGAACAGCAATAAATAGCCTAATAAGTGAATCACTTTTACTAAAACATTTATTGGTTGGGAAAGTTGGTGCATGTAGCATTAAAAAAAACACTATGTTAACTATTAATAAACAATTTAATGTTTCATTGAATTTTTTTTAAAAAATTAATGAATATGTTATTTTTAATTCACTACGAATGAGTATTTCTCATTGAATATGGGTGCAAAATCTTGATACACACTAAATATGTAGACATTTATTTCCAACTTTAATTTTTTATATTTGCAAGAGTTAAGATTCGAACTATAATCCTTAGTTAAATAAGATGAGTCTCTCATTAGTATCATCAACTCAAGTTGGTATTTAATGGGTAGGTTCTAATAGTGTAAACAATTTTGCTTGGTCAATCAATCAAAAAATATTATTGGTATGAATTTTAAGGTAGTTATTATATGAATCAAGAAGTTTATTATAATGATTTGTGATTGGATAACAATGTAATATTAGGGGATATTAGATTCAAATTTCATAAAACTTTTTTTAGCATAAAAAAAATTATGGATTTTAAAAGACTTAAATAGGAATTTAATGAATTTTAAGATTTTTTTTAAAAGACTTTATATGAATGTAATGACTTTTAAGATTTTTTTTTTAAAAAGACATTTTTTAATCAATATTTTGTGATATGAATTTTAATGAATTTGTATCTTAAGAATTATAAAATTTGAAAGGATTTTATTAGATTTCAAAGGACAATGTGGATTTTTAAAAAAAAGAATACAAATAATAAAATAAAAGCACAAATGGATGAAAAAAATAAAATCAATAATTTTTTCAATCTTTTGATAAACAATTGATTATGCTATCATGTCTTCTTAACTCTTAAGTAACATTTCTCTACATACAACCCTCTATGCATTTATATTTTTTCATTCATATCGTTGAATTTGAATAATATGTTCAAATTTATGATATTCATTAATCACTAGAATTGTCAAAATATATTTTTAATATATGTTTAAAATTTTATGTTTCAATATTAAATTTTATTGAAAATAAACATTTGTTAAATTTTAATAATTTAAAATTTTTAATAATATATAATATTTAATAACTCAAAAATAATTTTAAATATCTAATAATTAAAAAATAAATAATGACACATTATACATCAATGCTGATTGATAAAAATATAAGCTAAAAATATTGAAAGATAAAAAAATAGGAGAAAAGAAGAAGAAATAAATGAGAGAAATGAACAAAAAGAGAAAGATAATATGACATAGCGAAGACATGAGAAGAGAGAGAGAGATCAGATAGGAAAGAGAGACAAGAGAGAAAATGAGAGAGGAAGAAAGGGGGAAAGGAAAAAGAGAAAGAAACAAAAAAAGGCAAAAGAGAAAAAATAAAGAGGAGAAATAAACAAGAAAAAAAAAAGTCATGTAAAATCTTAATGATTTTAATGAGATTGTTGGATGGTGAATTATATGTAAATTCTACCAAAAAGTCTCAAAAAATCCATCTATTAAAATAATTCATTGAAATCTCTATGATTTTGAATACTAACAAACTTTTTTTAAGTAAAAAATTTTCTTAATTGAAGACCACCAGATTTTGGCGTATTTCTAAAAAGCATTTGATGTCTTAAGACTTGAGTTTCTTTCAAGGTTTCTTTTAAGACTTGAGTTTCATACATTCATTTTTTAACGAAACTTAAAGAAAAGCTAGATAGAGAAACTCTAGAGTTGATGAAATTTCTCTTCTTCTACCTACCTCTTAGAGCTCGTAGACTCCCTTCCTTGAGAGCAATTGTAGTTGCTAGTTTGTGATTCAAGCTTCCAAGCAAGAATCAAACTCATTGTTGGTAGGTGGTGCATTGTTCTCAAAGTTTATTTTTCTTCCTCTTCTTCTCTGATTTTTAGGAAATTCATAGATAATGGAAGTTTGAACTCGAACTTTGTTAATTGTTGGAGTTGTATGTGCTTGAATTTATCTAAATTCATGGCTATGTTACTTATTTTGGAGTGAAATTCATGTTTTGGTGAGTTTTGTGTGTTTTGAAGTATATTGTGGTGATTTTGGTGATTTTAACCATTTGGTGATTGCATGTTGTTATTTTGATGAGAAATGAGTTTTTCATGATGAATATATACATGAATTGTTGCAATGCATGCTTGGTTTGTTTGGTTTTCAGGTGAAGAGATCCATTTTTGAAATTCTACCAAGTGCATATTTCATCATAACGTCGGGCGTAACTTCAAGGTGTCAAGCGTGACATGTGTTAGAGACTCTCTAGCTCACGAATGTGATGTATGGGATTGGTAACGTTGGGTGTGAGTAAAGGCTCTCTAACTTGGTCATGTTAGATGTGGATGTCGTTAAAGCTCTTTGACGTGGTGAGTCTGGTGACGTTGGACCTAAGTTTAGTGGCATTAGGTGAGATCAAGACAGAAGCTTTTTTCTTAGATGATGTTGGGTACTAGTTTAGTGACGTCAAGCGTGAATCAAGAAGAGAGTGCTTGAAATGAGGCCAAACATATGTTTTGGCCATGCTAGATGTGAGAGCAACAAAGACTCTTTGCCTTATCCATGTCAGGCGTAAGTAAACTAGTGTTAGGCATGGGCAAGCCTAAGAGCTCTATGCCTTAAAGATGTTGGGCATGGGGAGAATGACGTCAGGCATGGATTACTTGCTGAAAATGTGTTATTTTGTTATCTAAGTGTTGAACATGTATAGGTTAGTTGAATCTATTACATGTTGTATGTTTTTGTATAGTGCTATTTCTTTATGCATTGATATGGGATAATGTATATTGATGAATAAATTATTGAAATGTTGAGGCGATGGTGTTGATAATTTTTAAGGAATTCGATTGTGTTGTGGGACTTATGACTAAATGAGATAGTGTTTTAGAAAGATAAATATCCCATTGTGAGGATATTTTTGTGGTGTTTTATGAGCCTTGTTGTTCAAAACTCTTCTAGAGTAGTTGACTTTAGAAGTGGATAGTTGAGTTTTCTCTAGGACCTTAGTTGATGCAGTATGTAAACAAGGTCAAGGCATACTATCTATAAGTGACCATAATATAGGAGTCAGATCTAGCTATATTGATTATAAAGTTACCATTATTGATTTGTATGGGGGTCAAGTCGAATCATACGTGGATAAAGTGACCAAATTGAGTGAGGTACAAGGTTGAAAGCCAAAATTCCTAACTAGGTATTAGAAG